CCCAGCCCATTCCACACCCCCTGCCCAACGTGCACCCCCCTTCCCCCACTCCCAGCCCATTCTACACACCCTGCTCAACCTGCACCCCCTTCCCCCACCTCCAGCCCATTCTACAACCCCTGCCCAACGTGCACACCCTTCCCCGACTCCCAGCCCATTCTACACCCCCTGCCCAACTTGCACCCCCTTCTCCCACTCCCAGTCCATTCTACACCCTCTGCCCAACCTGCACCCCCTTCCCCACTCCCAGTCCATTCTACACCCCCTGCCCAAACTGCACCCTCTTCTCCCACCCCCAGTTCACCTGCCCAGCCTGCACACCCTTCCCCGACTCCCAGCCCATTCTACACCCCCTGCCCAACTTGCACCCCCTTCTCCCACTCCCAGTCCATTCTACACCCTCTGCCCAACCTGCACCCCCTTCCCCACTCCCAGTCCATTCTACACCCCCTGCCCAAACTGCACCCTCTTCTCCCACCCCCAGTTCATTCTACAGCCCCTCCCTACCCTGCACCCTCCTTCCACCACCCCCAGTCCATTCAACACCCCCTCCTCAACCTGCACCCCTTTCCCTGACCACAAAATGCATTCAGCCCCTCCCCTCCTGCCCAAACTGCCTCTCGTGTTTCTTTCTTAAGGAGGAGGATGCAAGGTGGTAATTTTCTGGCTACCTCTCATGTGTTTCTCTCTTGTTGCTCTCTCGTATTGGCCAATACGTTCTGTCTGTCTGTTTCTGTCTATGTCTTTGTCCTTGCTCTGCTTCTGCCGTGTCCTTGTACAGGACACTTGTAGGCATTCCAGGTGATCATCTCCACGGGTTAAGGGCTCAGGAGCCAACGGGAATTATGCAGGTACGCCAGTCGCGCAAGGTAGAACAAGGGAGAGTGGTGGTGCGTCATGTCCGAGTGCCTGAGTGTTCTTGTAAATGGCCCTTTACAGAAGGAAGGGGGGGAAAGGGCTAAAGGATAGAATTCTCGCGGGCGGAGACCTTAGTGAGTGAAAGCTCACGCTGGGCTTTTTCTGCCGCGCTTGCAGAGCAAATAAATGCGGGGCCATAGCCGGAGAAGAAACGCTCCGAGATGGACTTGAGCTGCCTGGCCGTGATTCTCGGGACACATGAAGGGTCTTCAGCGTTCGGCCTTCCCATGGCTCTGTGTGAGTAAGAGGTGCGTGCTTTGAAATCTTCAAGAGTGCTGGCAGTAGGTTTCTTCTGAGGCAGAGAGCTACCTGCTGGGGCATGGAGCCTGGTGGCTTGGGGACTGGTGAAGGGGCAGTAGTCGGTTCAAGAGAGCGTGGATAGAGATTCAAGGCCTCCTTTGTCTCCGTGTTCCTGCAGTGGCAGCGGAAGAGGGTGGCCCCTGGTGGGAGGCTGCTGTGCGTTATTGGGGAGGAGAAGCGATGCCGCGTCCTGGCGGACTGAAACGCTAAGTTCTTTGTTTGGTTTTCCCCCTTTTCTGGGTTGGGTAGCGAGCGATAAGAAGTCAACCGTTCCGGTGTCGTCCTGTCTGGGGATGGAAGGAAAACGAGAATGGCGAGCTCTGGACCTTGGTGGAAGCGAGGCAAGAACCATCTGGCTGGGAGCGGAGGAGCCATTGCTGACACGGAGATAAATTTGGGGTCCGGAAATCTCTCGGCTTACGGCCCGCTCAGTTCTAGGAATGGAAGTGACGTTTGCTTAGAGAGCCAGTCCGAGCGGAGGTTCCCAAGGTGCTTCCTTGGTTGTGGGAGAAACAGGGCTCCCGTTTGTCAGGGGTGCTGGTTTCTCTGGAACACGGTGTCCTTCTCAGCAGACGCTTGGCTCGAGGAGGAAAAGGCAAGGTGGTAAGGTTTCTGGGTGTCTCTCGTGTGTTTCTCTCTTGTTTCTCTCTCGTATTGGCCAATACGTTCTGTCTGTCTGTTTCTGTCTATGTCTTTGTCCTTGCTCTGCTTCTGCCGTGTCCTTGTACAGGACACTTGTAGGCATTCCAGGTGAGCATCTCCACGGGTTAAAGGCTCAGGAGCCAACGGGAATTATGCAGGTAAGCCAGTCACGCAAGGGAGAGCAAGGGAGAGCGGTGGTGCGTCATGGCCGAGTGCCTGAGTGTTCTTGTAAATGGCCCTTTACAGAAGGAAGAGGGGGAGAAAGGGCTAAAGGATAGAATTCTCGCGGGTGGAGAATGAGAGCTCACGCTGGGCTTTTTCTGCCGCCCTTGCAGAGGAATCAGTGCGGGGCCGTAGCCGGAGAAGAAACCCTCCGAGATGGACTTGAGCTGCCTGGAAGTGATTTTCGGGACACGTGAAGGGTCTTTAGCGTTCGGCCTTCCCATGGCTCTGTGTGAGTAAGAGATGCGTGCTTTGAAATCTTCAAGCGTCCTGGCAGTGGGTTTCTTCTGAGGCAGAGAGCTTCCTGCTGGGGCTCGGAGCCTGGTGGCTTGGGGACTGGTGAAGGGGCAGTAGGCAGTTCAACAGTGCGTGGATAGATATTCAAGGCCTCCGTTCTCTCCGCGTTCCTGGAGTGGCAGCGGGAGGGGGTGGCCGATGGTGGGAGGAGAAGCGATGCCGCGCGGTGGGAGCGGGAGAGGGCGGCCCCTATTGGGGAGGAGAAGCGATGCCTCGTCCTTGCGGACTGAAACGCTAAGTTCTTTGTTTGTATGTTCCACCTCTGCTGTGTTCGGTAGCGAGCG